CCACCATATTATGGTGGCAAAAAAGTGGCCAGGATAACTGCAGCACAATTATGGTGGTAGGTTTGGTGCGTTAGTAGACCTTCTACTTGGAGATGCACTGTAATCTCTATAACTGCACTACATGTTGTCAACACTTGAACAGAACAAGTACAAGTTTTTTTTATGTCTGCTGCTCAATAAAATTATTGCGTCAAGTTAAAAAAATCAATACAAAAATTCATAGCAATATAATTTTAAAGAACAAATGACAATAAATAAATGTATCTTGTGAATAAAATTATTGCATTTTCTTTATACTGCATTGTGCACGAAACATCCAAATTAGTCCTGGTGTCACATTCAATTATGTTCTAAGGATAGTTCCTAATTATTTTTCGCTCTTTGGCGAGTTCATCACACAATGCTAATAGGTTCCCTTCAAATGCTCTTTAATTGAACATGACACGTGTGCAGGATGGGTTTGTTACACATAACATCTAAAAATAAATTATTGACCAGTAAATTTGACAATTATGCTCAATTAGATGTGTCAAGCAGCATGCTAAATAAATCCTGAATGTTATGCCTTAAATTAATTTATTGACACCTCAACCTACTTTATGAATGTAAATTGCACATGGTATATAGACACACCTGAAGATTTGTACTGTATACCAAGTGGAAAAAATAATTATGCTGTTTTAAAGCTTGTTTTTCTCTAGTCATGTATTGTATGCTCTACCTATGATAATGTGCTTCATATAACTAACATACTGGTTAATGTTATATGCCTCAGTTCTTCAAAGGACTCTCTATGCAATTTTGCAGGCATCTGGTCTTTTAAATGAAATATCTTGACAGACAATTACTACATTTACTCTGCAGCACACATCCTGCATTTACACACGTTTCTTAATCTGTTTCTTTTAATCAATTCCTCAGTTTCTATGTTACTGTACCTCTGCCATGATTTACATAGGGCACGATTTAAACAAGATTAAAAATATTCTGTTGGATAATTTTTCAGGGCTGCACTAAAAGGAATAGAGTGCATTTAAGTGATTGAAAGTGTCACCTCAGTCACATTGATACAAATGGTTTTCAATAGTCCGATGTTTTTGTTTAATATAAAAAAATGTCAAAGAAACAACTTTACAAAATGAAAAAATTCAATTTTTGCTTCCAACGCAAAATGTACATCAGAATCTTCTAAAACTTTGAAAATGAAATACATATATAATTAATATACAAGTAGTTCGGAAGCTTGTCATAATGAATTTGTTTCTTTATCTGTAACAAAATCCTGGAAAAAAGAGCAACCTTTGTATCAGCTGACAGCATTATTTGTTCCCTAGGGGTGCAACACTACAGGTCTAAATATTTACATTAAGACACATCAAAGTGATGCCAATTAAGTATTCCTTTGAACACTGCAGGAGGTCTCCTCTGGCGTGTGACCATTAGCCAGGCTAAACAGCCATAAGGAATATGGATGGGACATATTAAAAAGAGGGCCAGTGGGTGATGTGTACTGTATGGATTTGACACAGACAAACCCATCTATGCATGGCGATAACACTTCTGTAATGCGAAAGACATTTGTTGTTAATTAATCTTTTTTAATGCCATTTACCCCAAAACCATATGGAGCTGAAATTTCGATCTCAGGAATTGCAGGACTGCTCACTTTGCCTCTTTTCTTTCAAGTGGTTGATATTATTGATCAAGTACAGTTTTTGAAATGGGCATTACAGTAGATCAAGAATGTATAAAAAAAGGAAATGTTGACTAGATGAAGAACTGGAGCAATGTCATGTCAGGACTTCAGCATGTTAAATTTGCAATACTGAATTCTCAAGACAAATTGAAATCAGGAGGTGTGGTGTACCTGCATTTACCAAACAGAATAGGGAGATGAGGCACAGGAAACCACACACTGACAGAATGGACAGTAAATGTATTATGTAAAAATATTTACAGTATAAAATACGATATTATTGTGTTTTCTGGGGGGCAGATAATTCTTGCTTTTGAAATGGTTTCTCTTCTTCTAGTCAGGAAACAAACATATTTTGGGCAACGAAACAACAGTCTTGCATACAATTCTGTAGACTGTTTTGTGTCTGTGATTATTATTGGTTTTGTTTATATTGCCTGTCCATAGAATAAACTGGAGAAATAGACCCGTTAAAAGGAAAATAAAAGAATATAGTTGTCATTACTTGAGTGTTCCTCTACATCCCTTTGCCCTTTAAGAATTGTAAATGTTTTTTTTTAATGTTCCTGAATACACCCACAGACGCTTGTTGAAATTGTAAGCTTACTTTCATTTTTTCTTTCCAAATTTGTCTAAATTTAGATTAATTACACACTGAATCACAGATCACCATCACAGTATGTTATTATTACTGATGCTTTGTTAATAAATATATTAAGAAAAGTCTTCATTTCATATTACTCTGAAAGAAAATTTCTTTGATAGTTAAATAATAAACATATTTTCTTTACATTCCACTTGTTAAAAAGTTTTGCCTTCCTTTCTACTAAGTTTCTTAAAACAAGAAGAAAAGACAGCATGATGATATTGATGTGGTGGATAAAACGCGACAAGCTGACCTGTATTATTTTTTTTCTGTTTCGAGAACATTAACCCAACAGATCTCGTTTATAACAAAGCCCTTGCACTGAAGGGCTAAACTCCAAAACTGTAATTTAGCACCATAGAATATAAATAGAAAATCAGTTAAACATGGTCTCAATGATTTCTGTACTGGTGGAATATCTGTAGACATCAGTATGCTGTTACAATCCTAGAGAACAAAATCTTCATATAGTTACCGTTGGGAGATATCTTCTTCACAATTACCATGTTACACGTCCACATTTCATATTGGAATAATTTCATATTGTAATTTCATAAAGTGTGAAATTACAGATCATGTAAAAAGGAAAGAAATTAATATGTATTTAACATAAATTAGAAAGAGCTTCTAATGAACATTAAATGGATTAAAAAAATATGAAATACAATTAAAATGATACATCCTCACTTTTTATTTGGGTTTGCAATTGAAAAGTTTTATGAGGAGAGAACTATTTACCTATACAGTACTTCACACAAGATCAATCATTTCATGAATTTCATGCAAACACAGATTGAAAACACAAAGAGGTAAACTCACAGACCACGAGCAAAAGTTGTAGAAATTCTCATTTAAACATTTTAAGTCCATCATACAGTATGTCATTTCTGGAAAAAAAATCAAATGTACCCTTCCTCAAATTTATTAATTAAAAAACTATTTATATCATTTAAACCTTTGTGTCTCAGAATCTGTGCTACTAATAACACTGTTGTTCGAAGCCGAGGTGGCAATTTAAATGGTATTTTAAAATGAACAAAAGTGAAACACATTATGGAAATGAACTAAAAACCACAGAAGTTTTAACTAAACTCACTAGGTAAATACATATTAAACTGTGCCAGAAATCCATTAAAAAAACACTTATTTGTAGCCTCAGTCATTAGTTATTAATTCTACATTGTATTTGGATAATTGTAAAAGGAATTTCTATGAAAATAATAAAATTAAAACACTGCTGGTAAAAATTTGCAGTGAAGGTCTTGCCTGCATATTTTTCCTGAAATGAGAAATGACCTAAAAATAACTGGAAGGAGTAAAAAGCGATTCATACAGCTATTCAGTCACTCATTTTGAAAAAAATAATAATATTGTTAATACAAATAGTGCAAGCGAGCACAAAACGTCATCATTTTGCTAGCTTCAAAGAATCTCTTTACCAGACACACAGTATACTGTATATACAGTATCAAACTGATTAGATGGGGTCAAATAGCATTCTCCTGCACACAACCATTCCTACGGTATTTTCTCATCTACTGAGATTAACCTAAAGGTAAATCTCGGACCTGGATTAAATCAAAACATAAATCAGTCCCACACTTTGGACCCAAAAATAGTTTTTCGTTGGGTAGAACAAATGGCCTCATAAAAAAGAAGCCAGAATCAAGTCCTGGTTTTGGCCAATTTGTGTCTGGCAGATAGGTCAAAGTTTAAATTTAATTGGGGCCCTGTTCTAGATTTTGAAGGGTAGTTTTTGAGACGCTAATGAGTAGTAGTCCCAGACATGCTTACCTAAATTGACATTGTGTTGTCCAGGATCTGTGACAATTAGGATACGTGAAGCCGCAGGTAAAGTTGTTGGTTTCTCTCCTTTAAAAATATGTCAGTACTTGCTCCATTACACCAGCGTTCCAATATGATATTATTTCAGTTATTTAACAATATCTACAGTATGAATCAGAAAAGTAAATGGCAGACTTCTGCTCTAAAGGAACAATGGATCTAGATCCTTGAGAAGGATCAGGCAAAAGAGCTCATGATCACAAAATAATTATTTTTACAGATAATTAGCTGCCAAGTACGGGAATTTAATTAATTTGATTAATATTAAGTTTTCTGTCCCAGGTGATGTATGCACAGTTTTTAGGCTGCATAAACAAATGCTTCACAATAAAACTGTGACTAGAAAGTAACAGAAAAACAGATTCTTAAACCTTTTTTTTTCAAAATGTCCCCAACAGGGAGGATAGTATTTCATTAATATGCAATTATAAGATTGAGAAAAATATGTTCCTGCTTGTGTATTTAACAGTTTTTATAAAATCAATAAGACACCCATTATTTACCTAGTTTTACAGAATGCTAATTCATGGTGAGCAACGCCATTGTCAAAGTTGTTTTGCCACAGGGTACAGTGCTAATGTACTGAACAGTTATTTTTTATTGTTAAATTAAAAGGTATAGCTAAATGTTCAACTAAAGTAATAATTACTCATTGCTATTAATAACCACAGCATTATTAGTAATATGCTATTTGATTGCACATAAAAACATATGAGCCAGAAAGGAAATAGAAAAAGTGAACATTTATTTAACATTTGAAGTTTAACTCTAACGTTAACAAGAGTTCAAATCACTTTAAAATAATATGGCACTTACAAATAGCAAAAAATACAATAATATAAGTATTGTCAAGAATATCAGAACCAGTAAAAAAGATTAAACAAGTCAGCAAAAACAGCTTACCTCTTATCCAGGTTTAAACAAGTCTAATCAATATGATGAAGCTCTTTTATATCATTTTTACTGCAGGAATTGCAGATTTTTTACTGCAGAAAGTAGGAGTATAGGCTGGACAGTGTGTGCCTTGTGAATTGTTCCATATTTTTGAAGTCTCCCATATGCTTATCTTTTTACAGGATTAAGAGCATAGCAGGGATATTTTAAACAGATATGAAAGGCTGTCATGAAAATGTTGCATATTTAAAAAATTATACACCTAAATATCCATGGAAAGCAGAAGAAGGTTGAGTAGTTATAATGTGGACTTAGTCATTAAATACCTTGACAATTGTCTACAAAATAATCAATTATAAGTACATATATTACAACCCAATGTAAAATTATTTAAATGACAGTTGGGGATACAATCCTATTCTGCCACACAGCACATTAGTTCATTATTGTAGTCTTCGTCTGTTTGAAAGGAAACCACAAAAAAAACTGCCATAATTAATTATTTAGGCTTCACTGCTTAAATAATCTAAAACACCAATTATCTTGATAAGACACAGGTTGTAGAGCTGGTTAAAGTATGTTTTCATTTCCATATTAACTTATGGTTTGAGACTAGTAATCTTAGAAAACTGACCATAAAGTCAGTTATTATAATATTATAATTTAAAAAATCATAAAGCCACAGTTTATATACAGTACTTGTGTTTTTTTCTTATTCTGTTTGACTTGGTAACTTTGTTGTTCATGCCAGACTCAAAATTACATTGATAGCCCTGAGCACTTGTATATTCTTTATACAAAATGCACCTATAAAGTTTCATCCCAAACAGCTTTTTGAAAATGCTAGGAGCTATCCTTTAAATTATTTTTTATTTACAGGCAAAAGACCCCAGATTAATTGAAGGAAGCAGTCTTTGAAAAAGCGCCCAATTCAGAAAATGCATATTATGAAAGAAAACACAGTTATTATCAAATTCTTAATGAATATAAATGACACATTATGTTTCACAAAACATGACATATATTAATAGCCACAGGTAGATAAAAGATAGTTGGGAAGGTTTAACTATAGTGCATAAATACTTAAAAAAACTAATACAAACATTCTGAAACTATTTTAAATTGTTATATACATTGGGAAACAATACAAAAACTTTTTTCCCCCCCAATGGAAATTTAAAAAGACATACCTAGTCATTTAATGTGAAACTGCAAATATAAAATAAACTGTTTGATAAAGATTAAACCCACATCTTTGCATACTTAATACTAAACGTCTATGAAACAACATAAGACACTAAACAATACTTTTTAATCAAATGCAGGCAAGGTTGTTTCTGAGACTGAACTGAAACTGAACTAAACTGAAAAGAAAATTGCTCAGTTTTTTCACTGATGTAGGATATTAAAAATATTTTACTATGAGAAACAAATGTAAATCTACTGCAGTATTGTAATTCAGGAATTTTGACTAAGCTATAGAAATGAAAGCTTAAAAAATGTTCTATTCATTGTCAATTGCTCTATAGAATGTTAATAAAGCATTTATAGACATCTACAGTGGTGATCAAGTCAATTTTGGGGTTGGGACTAAGATTAAGTTTAGTATGAACACAATTGTGTATCTGTAGATGGTTTTTATCATTCTGTAAAGTCTCATGTAATTTTCTATGTAAAAATACATTTAAATTAATATTTATACCCATAACATGTTGTGACGTACAGTATGGTTTTCACTCCCACAAGAAGATGGAAAGTTGTTTATGCTCATATTTGTATTTATAACACATATTGCCAGTCATACTTGTGGTGCCACATTAAATTTTAACATTAACTATTTTTGGTGGCACTTCAACAGTTAATCATTTGTTTAAAAAATTAGAAAAAACATTGATTGAGACAAAGAAGTCACGTGAGAATCCCCACCAAACTTTCTGATCTTTAAACCAGAAGCAAAGTGCACAGTCATCCAGATATTGTGGCTCAAAGAAATGGAAAGAAAGATAATGACTGTCCTCATTTCTGAGACGCTTCAGTAAGGACGAGTATTTTGTGTGATTCATTTCAATAAAATACATTTTTGTGAACTCTAGTTGTTCTGCAAATAAGCGGTCAAAACCTGTAAAAACAGAAAACAGACAATCAATATTCATCTTATACCGACATTACATCACACTGGTTGTGAATAGACAGTAATTGCTGTGTTCTGTTATAAAAATGTCTCTTAGTAAACGCCATTCTTACGTTACATTCTTATGCTATTCTTACAACTCTGAGGAGGCTGAACCTTCACAAAAATGCTGGATTTTATCTCATTTTATGGACTTTAATCAAAACAATTTTACAGTAGTTGTTGCATTTGCTTATCTTTACAGCATTATACCACATTAAATCATATCACATCCAGAAAAGCAATGTTTTTGAGAATCTGGCAAAATAATAAGGAGAATATTGCCAGTGAAAAATATGCTTATTGAAGGAAATCTCATAAACTAGAAAACACTTAACAATAAAGACCAGTCTAAACAGCAGTGGAGTAAAGCATTACAAACACATAAAATGACATATAAAGTTCTTTGTTCCAAGAGCTGAGAGTGATAAAAAAGATCAACATATCCATACAGTACATATATATATATATCATGAATCAGACTATACATGGACATGTCATCACATGAAAAACATGTAAATGGTAAAAGGAAAGTGTGGGTTATTTTATATAATAAAAGCAATATAAAATATTATGTTAATAATGTTATACAAATACCCTTAGGTAATATGGTAATAATGACCCTCAACTCATAGGCATGGATACTTGCCAGCTATGCCGTCCAGCATGTAGGGGCAGCAATATCCTGTCGCTGTTTCCGTAATACTAGTTCATTACAAGACGGGGTTGTTAGCCTTGTGACTGGCCTCCAACATGGAGGACCTGGCACCTAACATGGGACAAAAACCCACTACCCTGCGATTATGAGTCTCGTGCTCTACCAACAGAGCTAGTCAGGGGCCAACTCAGACATACTCAGCCTCAAATCATTTATCCATAAAGAAGAAAATTTTGAGAATGGCACAGAGGTCTCTTTATTTCTTCATATCTTAGCCCCATGAAACGATATGATGCTGAAGTTGTGCCGCGGAGTTGTGAGACTGCAGTTAGATCTGCTGTTGTGATTGGAAACAGCAGAGATGTTTATTGAGAAACATGGAATATAGAAACCCCCAAAACATTTGTTGCATTTTCTTTGAAGTTTAATCATTTTTAATATGAATTATGATTCCTTTGACATAGTAATTGTTTTATACCAGTTTTTTGGAGAGATAAAATGTAAAACAATTACGGTACTTACCTTCCCGCAAAAAGCCAATTTTATATTATATCTTTAAACAACCTAAATTTACATCTTAAAATTGGTGTTGTATCTAAAAATACAGCAACAAAAAACATCTACTATATTACAACTCCAACAATGGACATCCTTGTATTTATGTTATTTAACATAAATTCAGGAGAAGGATAAATTATTGTACGCCTGAAGAATAAGGATCTTGTGCGCCTGCTCTACTACATACAAATACTCATTGGCTGCAAACAGCTCTCCACGCATCTTTTCTAAACCCCCTCCCTCCACCGCAGGTTCACCCTTGCAGCTGCCTCTCTGGTTCATTCCTCTTAACTGAGGGGGGGACTATGTTAGCATTGAAATTCAAACAGGACCATCACTTCCTCAGTATGGTGATTTAACACTGAAGTATTAGGTATATATATTTACTGTCCTGTAGCATTATTCGAATTTGAGTGAACTACTGAAATTGTATTTTTTTTCTCTATAAAAATAAAACAAATACTTGTAGTGCTTATGATAACTGTTTAGGAATTATTCTCATTTTAGTCTATTGAATATATGAAAAGCTAAATTAAATTAAATGGAAGATGCAATAGCATCATTAAGAAATAATTATTTAGGACACTAAGGATTTCTTTTTGAATCACTTGATTCCAAAATGTATTTAGGAAAATGTTGTGTTCTTAACCAAGATTTTCATTGACTTGGTGGCCTGATACCAGTGAGATATTCAATATCTTTGTAAGGAATTTTACACAAAAATTGAAGCTGAATTCAACTGATAATAAAAGATGGACCAAACAATAAGAGAATACAAGGTCGAACCACTGCAGCCTGTCTTTAAACATGTCATCACAATCAACAGATTAAATCCTTTTCTTCTAAATATAAAGCATGCCTTCAGAGAACGCAACACACCAATTCACCACCATACCGCAGGCATTTCTCTTTTTTAATCCTTGGGCAAATGCAGGGCTGTGCATGACAGCTCACAGTATTACTGCCAAAAGTATTTTTAAATAAATCAAGCCCATGACCCTATCAGCGCTAAGTTCCCTTTCTTGATGGAGTGTGCATCTCACTTTTGAAAGTGTCAACAATTTCTGGCTGGCTGGCTAGACACCACGGCGTACTCTTGTTATCTTCCCAAAAAGGCCATGTCATTCTTATACAACTTAATCAGTGGCTACATACAGGAAAGCAACACTGCAGCCTTTCTGATCATTTTAATGAGGACCTCTGGCTATTCAGTCATTGAAGTATAATTGACTTGCTCTTCTCTTATTTTCATAATAGACACTCCAACCTAGACCACGTTTATTTTGCTATAAGAAATGTCAAGAAAGATTGGAAGTTTTCTTTGTGTCCCCATTAAAGCTGAAAACATGCCACCCTGTCTTTTGCATGCCTTGCAATCACAGACTCTGAAGCTCATTATGCAGATTCAAGATGTAAATAAGTGATTTTCAATTCACTTTTATCGGCTCCAGATGATGAAATGCAACAAAAGGCATTACTCTGCAGAGCTCGGTATGATTTGTTGTCTTGGAAAAGAAGAAAAAACTGACATTAAACAATGGAGAGAATTATTATTATCGTTGATGTTACTACCTTTCGGGAACGATAGAATTCAAACTGTTGTATGCTAATGTAAAGCCTAGAGTACCAATTATTATAGAAAGATCCCAGAAGCCATGATGACCTTCTTTTTAAAGTGGGTAAACAGGCAGCAGTGCAGTTTCAGGCAAACTGAACCTCAAAATATTCATTAATGAATCAGATTTCTATATTAAAAGTAGTAAATATTAAACATCAAATGGCATTGTTGATATTATTTATCTGGTCTAAGAAATGATCACATGTACTGTACCAACAACTTGGTCTTACACATCTTCAGAAATCTATAATGTTCTCACATGGGAAATATTGTAATATTATCAAATCATTGACTACAGTATGTTTCCCTTCAGATTGTGCTTTTTGTGTCTGACTGTGAGGAATCATGTTAGAATTCTGCATGAAAAATTGCCTAAATGTCTAATCTTCAGCTGGACCTGAAGTACAAAATAGTATAGAATTTAATTACATTCTATATATAAATCTTGATGTTTATATTGTTGTAACTTACAAAAACATTGCAATGTGGCCCTGGAAGGCCAAATACCCACTGATTTATTGGCATTATTCAAATAAAAAGTGTATTTTTCCCAGAAATTGGAAAACCAATAAATAAAATTATTTGACAATGACAGTCAAACCAAAATATACGGTAGGTAAATTCTATTAATACACCCTTTTATTGCATTTCCAATAAAAGCAAAGCAAGGTTTTTAGCCTGCAATGTATTAATGAGATGTTTCTGACTGTCTTCTGTTCTTGCTGGAACTTTATTTTATCAGTCTTTGACTAATCATGGCATGGACAATGGAAAACAAGGCCATCATTAAAGTAATTATTACAAGCTCTAGTAGTTGCAGGCAAATATTCAATGGATAATTCTGTTTCAGTACAGGATAAAAATTACACTTTCACCAAACATCACCATTGCCTATATTATGACAGCGGTCAAACCCAATCACATTTTCACTCGTGAATATACAATATTAAAATAATGGTAAAAAGAACCAATCATTGAAAAGAGCACATTCTATAAGGAAATATTAGCCATTCTATTATCTTAGAGACATTGAACTAGGTTAATTTAATCAGAGATTATGGTGACTGTTAAAAGGAATTACAGTACTATTTTTTTCTCATTATTCCAGACCATAAGGAATTAGTGATTTCAGATGCATTTTTACAACTATTCTTCTCTTTGTGAAAGGGCTGGCTGAATTGGATTCCTGTTGTTCTACAATATAATATTTAAAGTATTTTGGTGTTTGAGTTCACTGATCCTACTTCTCCGCCTAAAACCTTAGTGTTGGACTTCAGACCATTTAGCCCATCACTCTCCCTACAACCACCAAATTGGACGACTTAGATAAACCAGATTGCTGGTCATTGAGAGAAAAGAGGACCTAGAAAAAGTCCACAAGACTACAGGCAGAATATGCAAACTCAACACAGACCGGTGTCCCAAATTGGAATTTAACCCAAGACTTTAGGACATCCAGGTGGATGCTGCACATTGGTGGTGGTGGTGGAAGGGAGTCCCCATTACCTGTAAAGCGCTTTGAGTGGAGTGTCCAGAAAAGCGCTATATAAGTGTAAGCAATTATTATTATTATTATTATTAAAACAAGAGAACACAGCTAAAGCTAATATCTTAAAACCAGAAAGACAAGCATATAAATGTGCCTTAAAAACTCATAATGTGTGGTATTAACAGTAAAAGATTGCATTCCATTCTGGAACAATATGGTTCCAGGGTAATGGCAAAGTGCACAGATCTCTATTTTTGCATGCGGTTTCCCCTGTGGGTCTCACTGTACAGCTTTAATTAGAAGAATAGAGTTAAGTTGTAACAATTTTTCTTTTTAGAGTAAAAAATGACATCATTTTTTAAAAGCCAAAACAAGTAAGCAATTAATAAAGTTTTAATAGACAAACTATATAATTTAACGTTTGTTGCTTTATTTCGTGTTTTGATACTGGTCACTGATGTGTGCTTATGTAACATATATCTTAGAATAAATGAATATATAGGAATAACTATTTATTCAAGAGGTTAAAGAGGATGCAGTTCTAAAATTATTGCATAAATAATAGGCAGTGATTTTCTAAGCAAATGATCACTTTTCTTCTGACAGGAATATGTTTATAATCAACA